TTCCGTAGCTTTAGGCATTTAAACGCTATTTGTATTACACAACTCCATCTTTTGTTAATCATCGAACTGCCCTGCTACTACTCAATGTAAGGGTTTAAGCAGAGGTGTTAAGCATCCTGCCAAGCAGAAGCCTGAAAGGGAGCATATGACAACCGCTGTCCTTGTTAGATCTTGGTCAGTAGCAGCTCGAGCAATGATAACAGAATGCTTTGCAGCGTATTAATATCTCGTTCAAGTCTGAAAGTCATGCAGTGCAACTGCGAGCCTGTACCATGCTTTTCTAGAAGGCCCCTAAAGCTTCTCCAGCCTACCTCACTGTCCAGGTTGAGAGCTGAGAGTCAGTCTCTCCTAACTGCCCCTGTCTCAAGAGGGAAAAAGAGGCAGGAAAACCAAACCAACCCCCAAAGCAGCCCCCTTTCCCAAGAACCAACACCAACAAGCCGGCCCTAGCAAACAAAAGCAAATACAGTCTAGTCTCTCCTTTCAAACCCCCTTTCTAAGCACTGCAGCAGGTCCTCCTCTTCAGACAGAAGGCTACAATATACCAACAGTGTCAGAAGCAGAGTTTGTGAGTGCCCACCTCTCCCCTCCTGGTTCGGAGAGACAAGGTGCTTCCCTACAACTAGCCACGTTTCCTACCATGAACGGGGAAGGCTGCACGACGCCCTGACCTTTCAGCTGAGCGGGCGTCAGGGAGGGTACTCATTTGGTATACAGAACAGGATTCAAGTCTCTGTAACAGAGACACAGGTACGTGAGACTTTTTTCAAAACAAGTTATCTTGGTACATTTCCTTTTTCTCTACATCATCTTCTGATGTGTCCTGAACTTCTGGAAATAAGTAAACTGACTTACCTAAAGCATCCTGTCAGACATTAAGGGATAGCATCATATACTAAGCATACCCCAGCCACAGATGGGAAGTCAATTGCTGTAGTTACCTCGCTACCAAAAATATCTAAAAACTAAAATAAGGCCACATAAATAAACTGAGACAATACATAAATAAAGGTCCTAGAGAATTTTCCCTGACTCAGTTTACTGAAAAAGCTGCAGGATCTTCCTAAAGGGGACTGAGGAGCCAGAACAAAGAACCTTACAAACATTTTTGAAGCAACAAGTTCTTTTTCATAAACTGCCTGAAGCAGCTAAAATAATGATCTTGCATAATGAGAAAGGAACAATTACAAACTTCTAGTCCTACAGGGAGCCTATTGTCTCATTAAAGTGTTCTGGAATTTCTATGACATTTAGAAACAAACTGGACAGGTTTCCCACTTGCTGGAAGTGGGAATGTGCCTTCTATCTATTAAAGCAACAGCACAAAAAAATACCTCTTCCCATAGGGAGTTCAGTGCCAGTATTTCATTTGATTAACTAAGAACTTTGTGAGAATGATTTGTTCGATTGAGGTTGTTGATTTTTTCAAAGGATTAACAGAGAGATTATTAGAGCAGTTTAAACAGTAACACAGACCCCTCTGAAATCTTTATGTTTAGTTAGCAGAAAACAAAAAATTCCATGCATCTCCAGAGTGGTATTTTACCTGTAAGACCTATCAAGCAACGGGAAAAGTCTTTCCTTTCCAATTCTAGCTGTACATGTACTAGCCTGAACAACAGGCTGCATGAGGCATTCTCCCCGGTGACACAGCAATGGGCACCCTGCCTCGCGGGCCAGCCAGCCCCGTCTCCCTCTTACGTACAGCCCCCCCGGATCATACACAGACCTCTATCAGTTACTGGCCAACCTGGCCGTTCTTCCTGCACCTCTGGTCTTTTCCCTTGGAAACTCTGTTTTATTTAACTACTTGGCAGGTGATGGATCTGGTTTCTCCTTGGAATTCCTGGCAGCTAGCCAGGACCCATCCTTCCTTTAGCTTCTCTCAGAGAAGGTCCACAAGCAGACACGGCAAAGGACCAGTCAAAAGCTGCTCACTGAGCATCGGCCATAGAAGAGAGGAAGCCTGCAGTTCCTTACAGGAACAGCCCAGCACAGAGGCTGGACGCTAGTGAAGATGACTACATGAGAGCTGGTAGAGCATTAACAGTGCTTCAGGAAGAGAAGGAAGAAATAACAGAGGTGAGTGAGGTTAGAAAAAGGAAGAGAGAAAGAAATTTAGCAAGGACGCTTTATCTTAATAAGGAGAAGGAGTTAATTTTCTCTAGATACATGCACATGCGCAGGGATTGCTTTTTGGGTGTTTTGCTAATTCTATATGCTCAGCCTAGGTCTGTATAGTGTCAGCTGGGCAAATGGCCTTACAGCTAAAGCTGAGCCTTCAATTCCTGTAGAATATACAGTCCCCCTGAATGCGTGGCCTCATGTTGCTTTAACAGTCCTAAATTCCACAGGAAAAGATTTAATATTAAAGAACAATAAAGTCAGCCATAATGCTCTAGGTTGTACTGTGCCGAGGCATAATAAGATTATAAATTCCATTCATTTACAGAAGTATTCCAAGAGGACCATTTACTGCAAGCAGGATTATCGTTAGCTAAAAATACTTTGTACAGGGAACTCATGAATTTATTCCTTTGATTATAGCCTTCTTTTATATGAGAACCTGAAGAAAGGTCTAAGGGCATAGAATTAGGGATAAGGTGTTGGGGCTGCCCACGAGACCTCAGCAGACAACACAATATTAATTTAGCACAAATAAGGCATAACAGGAAAACAGAATAGGTACTCCAATCTGAAAGGCTGAGATCTGCTAATGGTCTCAGGTCATTAAATCTGTTTTACGGAAAAGGACTGCATAATTTCAAATATAAACAAACTCCCCTGCCAGCATCTTAATATTTTGCACAAGCTTAAATATTTTCCAGAGGAGAGAGATTTTCCTAAAAGATAGTTCAAGGAACTGGTAACACAAAATGCTGACTTTTTATTTCATTGTATGGCCCGGCATTCCACTGAATTCATCCTGCTGTTGCTTTGCCCATGCAATGCAATGCCTCCTTACTAACGATCCAAACTATGACATGCAGCAGCCACCACTGACTCAAATTCAGCATTTGTGTGTTTTCCTCAGGGTTGGCATGATAATGCTTTTCATTGCTTTCAATCCCTCTACAACAAAGGGGTGGTGGGGGGAAGTCTTTCACAGAGAAAGCATCACACACACTCACACATGGTATTTGCAGGAGTATTCCAAGAGGGCCATTTACTGCAAGGAGGATTATGGTTACCTACAAATACCTTGTGCAGGGAGTTGATTTATTTATTCCTTTCATTACAGCGTTCTTTTACATAGAAGAAGTACAAGGTGCATAAGTTCAGGAATGCAATGTTTGGGACAATACTTGCTCCTTGATCTGACAACCAATTAGGGGTTTTTGTGTAGAGTTTATTGTCAGAACAGTTTTATTTCACCAAATGCTCCTGCCAACCATTCACGTCAGCATTTTGATGGGAAAACAGATGCAGTTCCTCCCACCCCACATAGGGAAGTCTGATATTGAATCAAACTGCAAGGTCTGTCTCATTTCAGAAATGAAGATGCATCAGACTGCTTCAATTACTTGATGACAAGAAAGTAAGAAAAGTTCCAACTTACCACCCCACCTCCTGCCGAGTGAACCAGCACAGACATGCCTTCTCTTAGGTTAGCAACTTCAAAGAGCATCATGTAGGCAGTTACAAAGTTCATGGGAAACGCAGCAGCTTCAGAAAAACTCATGTCATCTGGGATCTTGTAGACAAATTCTACTGGGGTACATACGACTTCAGCCCATGCATTGTAGTTTACAAAAGCCATGACTCTGTCTCCAATCTACAAACAAGGAAGAAACCAATTGCTGCAACTGAGACTGTAGAGAGCAATTTGCAAGACCTGCAACTCCCTGTCCAAGCTGTGGGTCGCTGACTGACTGTGAAGATAACGATACTCTGCATCTTTGGCAAAACAGCAGTTAAGCTGCTCAGCTTTGGGCTTTTACCATTTTTTAATTGTATTTATTTAAAAAGTTGAATTTAACAAAAACATCCAAACAAAGTTAAAGCCACCTCTTCTTTTTTGCTACACTGCTTCTCTGATGGAACAGTCTTCCATCATCACTAATACAGATCATATTTTGCTAGCAGAGCTCCTAAGTTAACAAATGGGGCTGTAAACAACAAAAACAGAATTCTTACTAATAACCAGGAAATTTGCTTACAGAAAAAAGAAAAAAAAAAGGGAAGAAAGATTATAATGATATTGATGAGATGCATGGAATAAACAAAACTGCACCTAAGATAATTTTCACTTTGCTTTCTCAGTCTCCACACTAATTTAGAGCTACTTTTCCTCTCTGCAGATTGAGAAGGGGAGGCCTTGTACTCTGGTAGATAGAGCACATGAAAGGGTTCAGAAACCACCCATTTAAAAGATAAAACCATCTGTATCCACTCTCTATTTTTATTATCTTAATAACTGATTCTACCAAAACATTTCCATGATTGTCATTTCTACAGCCATGTGTCAGAGCAGAATTTGATCCTGCAACTTCAAATAAGCCACTTCAAACATCAAAAATGTATCTCTGGATTCTGAGGCACTACTAAGCCTACAAAGTGAGTCTGACAGGGTTTAAAGGAGCAATGAAATACTCTCTTCAAATGCAACATTTCTCTACTCTTTTTTTTTTTTTTTAAAATATATAGTAGTGAAAGGGTATTTCACTATGGAGAAATCATAGAATCATATGATAAAATAAATAAAGATTTTATGCTAATATTTGATACAGTCAGTTGCTCCTAGGAACCTTTCAGAGGTCCAGGCACATCAAATTCATACATTTACTGTAGAGTGGCCTTCATTGCAACTTCAGGTTTTTAAAATGGAGATAGTGACTCCCCACAGATGGACAAGAATAACAACAAGGCAACTGGAGCTCTGAGGCTCCTGCAGGGGTACAACCAGACTTGGAAAGCAACACTCACGTGAAAGGAGAAATGGGTCTCCTGGGGCTACTAGGGAGAGCCACAGTGAGCAAATGTTTGGCCAATATATATTAAAACCTTCATAGGCATGACTCTTACAAACTCTTGATAATGGCTTGCCCCAGCAGCCCCTACACGTCTTTTACCTTGTCTTAGACCTCTTTGCCTTTCTATAATACATCAAGAATTATAGCATCCTTAACCATGAAAGGAGCTCTTCAATAGAGCCACAGTATAGGTAATAAGGCAGGAAGAGCATCAAACTTCAGGACTTCATGTTTTAACTAAAACTAACAGAAGCTGTCCCTCTAAAATACCTTTGCTTATCTGCCTGATATTCTCTATCTTACATTCTACTAATACCCACTAATGCTTTAGAAATAGTACAGGTTGTTCTTGGACTATTTCAACTATATTCCACAGCAATGGACTAAAGCACAACACTTTTACCTTCAGGCAAACGTTTATAGCACAAGCACTTTTTGGTCTCCCAAGTACTTGTCATCACTTTGGCTTTGGGATATTGCGCGTTTGCTAAAAGCTAAGGTGCTGCTGACAGTTCTGAAGGGTTTGTCTCTTTCAGAATGAGAATGCTGAAACAGAACTGTCATTCCAATTTCACCGAAATGCCATCTCCTTTCAAAAAACACATTCAAATTAACAATGCCTCACTGGTAACCACTCTGTGGTTCCCTTTCTGTTAGAGAAGTGTCTAGAATCTAAAGTCTGCTAGGATTAATTAGTGAAGATGTTAATATGACCTACATCCTTGCAAACAAACATAAATGATTACCAAAAAAGAACGCAGAAAAGTCCCTCTTGGTGATTCCCAAGGGATTTCTTAATAATAAATGCCATGTTTTACTACAAACACGATACAGAGCCTAGTCATCATGTCAGATTAGGCCATAGCTCCTGAGGATCATCCTCACAGCTAGAGAGAGTGCAGGCTTCATACATCTGAGCTCAGTAGAAATCAGCTGTTTCTTTTAACGGGAGAAGGAATAGGCATTTACACCATTTTTCCATAAAAAAAGGCCTTCTTTCAATGTAAAATGTGTTCTTACACATCACTGCCAAAATGAACTTCCATCCAATGCTGTCATTTGTCATACAATAACGCAATCACAGCAAATGAAGACAATAAGTGGCTGGCATTAACTCAGGTAGTACAGACTAAGGGCCAGTAAGACGCATTTTTCTAGACCATGAAATCCCCACAACTTTAATGTAACTTGAACTGGAAGAGATCTACAAAGGGAAAGAAGGTCAAAAGATGTAAGGTGCCATCTTTGCCATTCCTGCCGTCACTATGGACAGTGGTAGCAGCATATGTCAAGGAGACGAGCATCTGGCACACTCCTGTTCTCCGCAAGAAATCCACAAAGAAACTGATAGAATGTTCTTGCATCTTCCTCATGGTGTGTTCTCCTGCTGATGGGTTCATACCTGCGCACAGCAGTTATTCTGAGTGTCGACCCTTCTTCTAGATCACTCGAAGACTACCATGGCTATGCAGATTATATGCAAAAAATAAAATACCATGGCTCGTTTCAATTTCAGGGAGTACACCAGAGCATAAACATACTCTACAGCCAGAACAAAGATATAACTTTAAAAGAGACCCAGTATATTCAGTCAGGTGCAATGTTATTCAAACAAGCACCATATGCTGTAGCCTCATGATGCCCTTTAAAAATAGCACGAACTTTTAAACTGAGAATGCTGATCTAGAGCAGAGACTTTCCATAGACCTTTCATAGACTATTCTTTGGTATGGAGCGTAACTATAAAACACAGATACTAGAGCAGAACAGCTCAAGCAATAGGTTTTTTTCAAACAGAAAAGTTATTGTTTGTCACAAAAAGCACTGAAAGATTATGATTTGTTTTGAGGCAGAGATGGGGCAGGAGGGGGAAAGTAGCGAAATGTCCTAAGAAGAGCTCATCACTGAGGCTCTACTAGAAACTAAATTGGCCATTATCTGTACTCAACTGAGAAATTTTACAGCTCTTTTAGAAGAGCAAAAATGTTACCTTTAAATAAAAATATTTTAGGTAATTGCCTTCTTAAGATCAAGATACAGTAAGAATTCAGAAAATGCAATTACCTGATGACATGACTGACTCAGCAAATAGCTAAGATAGAAAAATTTTGAAATAAAAACTGAGTTAATGCACGTCAATCCTATCTACTTATGGAATAAAATGCAAGATTGCAGGGTGCAGAGATGTTTAACATCAATAACGGAATAGACGGTAGGACAGAATGCTGTTTATATGTAATAAGAGATACCGAAGAGTACATAATGCCAACCAGTTATGAAAGCTTTATTATATACATTAACTAGTTGTCATTTATCACTATTCTGTTAGGTGAAATAGATCCTTTTGCTGAATGATCAGAATAAGCCACATACCCAGAATCAGGGTCCCAATTTTATCTGCATCTCATGAATGCACATGGCTGGAAGAAGCAATGCTTATTGTGGATGGGGGTCTCATTAACTCAAGACCAGAAGCTGGAACTAGAATCAGCAGGGCATGGGCTTTGAGGAACAGAGCAACGGTGACAGCAAACACGGTCAAGAAGAGAAACTTAACAAGTTAACTCAATTTCTTTTACTTTCTTAACACACATCAGTCATTCTTTCCAGTTCCTACTTAGCTGTCAGGATACACACATGGCACAAGTGGCTTTTCAGGAAGAACTTGAAGCAGATGACTGGTGGCTTTAGAAACAAATTCAAGAGGTCATTCTCATGCTTGGGAAGCAGCAAGGAAAAATTGCCCTTTCAAATCTCAACAGGGTGGTGAAGGCTGCTGTTGCTGGCAGACCAGAAGGGATTAGGGACAACATACTCAGTGAACTGGTGATTATTTAGTCTTGCTCTGCAAATAAAGAAAATATTACCTCAAATCCTTTCACGCTATCTCCAAGAGCTTCTACAATTCCAGAGCATTCAAACCCAGGAACAAGTGGTGTCTTCGGAGGGTTGTCGATATTCCCCTGTCGCACCATCAAATCAATAAAGTTCAAACCACTGTAAAACACAGGAAAAAAATAAAATCAAGACTATTACCATAGATCAAAGCAGAGGAGGAAAACTTGACCTGAGTATATGGGAAAGCTAGAAGACTTCAGGGCAGCATTAAAACGCTGGGCTCCACAGCATAAGAGGGACCCAGCAGGCATTCACATTCTTCATGCATGGAACAGACCGACTTTACACTGCGCTCCAACAGGCCTTGGGGCAGAGGAGTATGCACGCAAGGCAACCACATCTGTCATTAGCCCCAAAGCTTGCAAGACTGTTAAGGAGTCACATGTAGAAATTCACAGAGGGCATTTAAAAATTCAGTACTATGAAACATTATGATTTCTATGAATGCATTACTAGCTTCTGTAATGAGAACACTACCAGTTCTCTTTAAGAGGAAAACCCCAAACCTCACACATTATAGATGTTTTGGGCCAAGAGCAACCTGACGTAACTGTCCTAACCTCTGATGTGACTCCAGAAATGAATCTTGTGTTTGTCCCAGGCAGGAGTCCAAACTTTGGCACGAACTTATTAAGTATCAGATAGGCTGTTGCTTTTAAAGTGTTCCTTCTGGATCACTTTTGTACAGTTTTGCAAAGGTCATTTAGGTCTTTGGAGCCCTCAGGGTTGCTGCTCAGAAAAAGGACAGGTCTCGCCCTATAGTCTCATTTTGCAAAAATCTTGAAGCATCTTTGCTTCATCTTTTATATGCTATCCGATTTTATTAAGTAAAATTTTGTGGTTTTCTAGGCAGCCGCAAAACAACCAACCAAAAAAAGGCACTGTTTATCTACTATGTGCATAGACTGATTGCCGGCACAAATGCCATACATAGTTAAAACTTCTAAAACTCCTAACTAGCTAAAATATGCTCCAGCATTAATCCATTGTTCTAAAACACAGCCCTGCATTTACTGTTAGCCGAAATTGCTGCGTACTAACTCCCCCGACTCTATGAAGCTACTCACACAGCCAGTCCTACTCATGCGTATGATACCAGCAACTGCTTGGATACATAAAATTACTGATGTGCACAAGTATTTATAAGATGGAGCTTTAGTCATATACTAATCAAGACATAAACAGATTGAACAGACACAACAAACAAAAAGACAGAGTAGGCACACCACCTAAGCATGAAGACAAGACAGCATTCATGAGATGTAGGTCACGGGGCAGGGGAGGGGGACGGGAATTCCACCAAGTGCAAATATTTGTAATTGTGGTGGAGGGTTTAAGAGCAACCTGAACCCACACCTTTGAGCTCTGTAAAAGCAAGATTATAGATTATTTTTGAAAAACATGACTTTGACATTCTAGCTTGACAAACTCAGGAGAAAAACAAAAACCAAACCAAAAGACACCCCAACATGCTCATACACAAAGCTCGTAACATTAACCATATGGAAGGTTAGGAGGGGTTTGGCACAATGAAGTTGGGAGCTTTGAAATTATTTTAGAAAGGCCACTTCTTATCCCGTGGCTAAGACCACCTCCTACATCTGTAGGACGTAATGTTAATAATGAAAGAGGAATTCCAAACAAGAAAATGCTTGCAAGGCAGTCATTATTTGGGGAGGAGGGGACAACATCAAAACCAAAAACCAACCACGAAACCACAAACCCCACACCACACATGGTGGCAGCCATTGTCTGTCTACATTAACTTCAGTGATGATCTTTTGAATACATCTTTCCACACTGCGGGCATTTTACAAGAAGTTAACTTTTTCTACATTCCTGCAAGAAGGCACAGCCGGAGGCAGAACTGTGATGCGGAAACCTGTTTAGGAACACACACCATGACGTCATAACAAGCAGGCAACAAGCAGACAGATGGATATGGCAAAGACCACAGCTATTTGGTAATGACACATGATTACAAATACATTATTGCAGCTCTTTCTAGAAACATTCATTCTTACGAAATAACTTGTCAGACAATTTTTGAAAGGGCACATATTCCGTTTTGCATCTAACGACATAATACTAGCAATTCAGTTCTGTTCTAGTTCCATTTCTCTTTCGTCTGTCTTTATCCTCAATAAAAGGCAGCAATATTAAATAAAAATAGAGAGTTCACCTCTATTACAATGAACTTACAAGACCTGATACTAGAACAGGTATGATAAGGAGAGAAAAAACACTACACAAGGTATGTAATACCTAAGTCACATGTTTTTCTCTGGAACATAGAGTGTGGATGGATCAGCATTTCTAATCATTTCTAGTCACTTTCAGAGAGTTTTTCTTCATTCACTTCACCTTTCGTCTCCTATATGTCTATGTGTCATCACACCTCTGTTACTCTCACATGTGTGTTTGTTTCCATTCTTCTCCACTTTCAAATAAGGACAGAAATAAGTTGTTTTATTTTACCTGTCTAATTTGAACAAGCCTTATCAACACCAATAGACCTGAAAGCACAATTATGTTGTATGGTAAAACCAGCAATTTATATTATTTTTTTCCCCCTTTGAATAACCTGGAGGGCCCAAAGATGAACGGCTAGTTTAGTAACTACCTCCAAGACGCCCAACCTTATCACGTCCTTCGCTGAGATTCAACCTGCAGCAGACACAGGGAAAGGGAAGTTTGGCTGCACAGAACATCACAAGAAAATGTGTCTCATGAAGAGTGATGGTTTTAGAGAATAAGCACAATTTATTTCTCATATCAGTACAAACCAGCATAACCTGTTCTGGTGTGTAGCCAGAGAAAGCAACTTCTGGACTTCAAGTAAGGGCATGTGCAGAGGGAGAACTGTAAATGCAAAGTGATCCAGTGACAAAAAGCGCACAATTTCTTGCAGTCATGTGGTTTTAATCCTAAACCAAGAGCTGGATGCAAATGAAGATAGGGAAGGATATAAATTACCAAGATCAATATATTGACATAGGGGTTCTGCAAGAACCTGTCTGAAAGAGCAGGGATATTGGTGTGAACTGCACAGACTGAATTACCTGTGCATCTCTGGAGGCAGGGTTTCTCCAACATGGAAGGATCTTTCAATCTGACTTTCTAAGTCTGCAATGCTCTGCCTTAACATCAGTTTTGAGGATCTGGACTATTATTTTCTATACTTGTGGTTTAGCTTTGCTGCAGTTTTATTTTCGTTTAAGTGTGGAAAGTCCTGCGGATAGAGAGCTGTATTCTAGACTTCTTTCACCATCAGACCAGCAACAGTCAACTTGGTTCTCCTTGCTCCATCCCATGCCCTCAAGGATGCCCAATACCTTCCATTGCAAAATACCAAATCATATAGACTGTCCTTCACACTTCGGTTTGGAGAGGTGCTGCTTTTGATCTGTCTGTCTTATTTCACTGTAAGACCCCCCTGAAATTAATTACTGAAGTTAATGAAATACAACAGAGCAAATAAGAGGACCACTGAGTTTTCTATTCTTAAAATCCTTTCTCTTACCCCTAGCCAGCAAATTGCCTGACAATCTTTAAAAAAAAAAAAAAAGTGGAAAGGTTTGAAGCGATCAGAAACACCCATGGCGTATGAACAAGACTGCCTTTAAGAACAAAATTGATACACTGTCCGCTACTCTGCTATACTTAGGATTTCATTTGCTACCAGTTTTTTCAAGTGCTGTTATCTCACAGTCACAGAGTCAGAAGGGTCACTTCCTCCTCATTCCTCATGACGCACATGTATAGTGGCACAAGGAAGAAATAATTATAACAGAGAAAACGAAAATAAAGGGAGGTAATTACAGGACACCATTCCTTATTCACACACCCCATCTGAAACACTGCTTCGGTTTGTTCTAGCTACTTGTCTAATCTTTTAAACAATACGTATACTACTGTTCTGCAGACTCCAAATTACAATACGAACAAATACAGCAATTTCAACTGCTCCGTCATTATCAATCAAAAATTATTTCAGGAAATATGCAGAAGCTGTGACTCAGCTTGGACATCGATGGCTGTTCCATTTCTTAGTCACTGAATGAGGCTAACACATGACTCATCTCAGCTGACACATTTTCAATTGGATCATTGATATTCCAGACCTTCAAAAGAATTATTCATCTGGCTTAGTGCTTAATAGCAACATATCCCCCATCTCCGCCATTTATAGTACCATACTACAAAATGCATACATATGTTTTAACTGGTGTATACATATGATTCAACTGGTTTCATCCCCCAGTGAATGCAGAGACCACGTAGAACTTGCGCTTTTTACTAGTATATACCATTTATCATGCATGCACACATTCTTCTTAAAATAAAGATTGTTTTTCTCCACAAGTTAATGGAGAAAAATAATCATCACCTCTAACGATGCTCAACTGCAAAACTGATTCAACTAAAACCATTATTTGTCATCAATATGTCTTACTAGAGCAGCCCATCTTTGGTGCGTTCAGCACTGCGTGCATTAACATGTGCATACTACACTGGGCAAAGCCAGCAGACATTTTTCTCACTCAGTCTCCCAGACTAGACCGCAAGTCCATCATCATCCCGATCAATCTTCTGTATTTACAGACTCGGGTCAAGAAGATCGGCAAATTGATTTTGCCTTGTTTGGAAGCACACTTTGGTGACCTGATCACATTTCAGCCCTACGGCCATTTCCAGCCAGGAATGACAAGCAGAGGCTATACAGCCTACAGGCTCCTCTGGCATGAAGGGAGGCTCCCAAAAACACACGTGGTATTGTGCAACCTGGCAGTAACTATGAAGCAGTTGAGCGGGTCTAGTGATGTCAAACAGCACGCGTGCAACTCAACACAGCTCGCTAGTGATAATGCAACCCTGGAAAGCAACTGCAGTTGTAGCAGAGCTGAATATTTCTATTTTACAGCCAAGTGTTCTTTTACAGGTAACATGCTATTTGTGATACACACATCGACTACTTCGATGAAAGCGGAATTCACACAGGTACTGGAGAGTGCTGTAAACGCCTCAGGCATTGAAAGGGATATGTCCACGTGCTCAGAACATTTGAAGTTCTGCACGTTAACTTTTGTTAACTCAAT